CGTCCCACCTGTAGCAGACCGCGCAAAGACAATGATATCCCTCTAACGGCCATGCGGCTTAGATACTGGCTGTCCTATTCCTACCCTCAGGGACCGGTAAGCCTGCATGACAATCCTGCCGCCATTACATGACTGTCATGGCTAAACCCCAGCCTGCTGGATAAACCCAAAGCCTCCGAAAGTACAACCCAGGTTACAAATAATCAGCCAGACAAATTCTCAGTCTGGTTGAACCTCGGAACTCAGACCGACGTGGATTGAATAAACGCAGGAGCGTGTATGATGCATGGCGCACAACTTTCCACAAGGCTACTCATCCCTCGTCAAGGATCCTCATGTTCCCCAGTGTTCATCATGATGAGGCTGGATATGAGCAGAGTAGATGCTCGTCGTCATTCAGCCTGTAAGCACGGAATGCCGCAACCAATTAATTGGCTTATACATTCCCTGCTCCCCTGTAAATGGAAGAACTAAGCCCGAAGTTTCCACTGTTATCCTCCATCAGACTCCATGTTGTTGATGAATGATCGCAGGAAATGGGTCGGGAACAGTGGCTGACCGACTTGTAGATTACGCCGAGCTCGCGAGTCAGTCAGATAGATAGATGGAGAAAAGGTTGTACCTCCCCACCCCAGACGGGTAATGTCTTTCCGGTTGGACAGTGCCGCCATGAAGAGAGGGACTTTATTTCAGTGTCTCTTTACAACTGGAATTATCCATTAGACGGGGGCACTTTCATCCACAAATTGCACCCAATAAACGGTGTCGATGAGATCCATGGGTAGACCGTGGGTTAGAGGTCACGCCGTAAACCGACAAATGGGGTGTTCTGAGACGGGATTGGTGACCTAAATAGGCGTTGTCCCACTTCTGATCCATAATGACTCCGTATGTTCCCATTCTACTTTGTTCTCCAGTTTTGTTGTTATATTAAATACCCTGGCTGTTAACAAAGAACTGATCCTCCGCTGTATGACTCTTCTGTTTGCCACACTTCTGGCGAGGAGACCTTTACAACAGCAGCACAACAGTCTAGCTCTAGGGTCAGCAAAAATGTATGGAAGAGGAACGAATATATACCACAAATTACCAGTAGTGAGACACAGAGGGCTCAAACTGCCCATTATTGAGTAAATGTGCTGCTGCAGGAGGAATTGCGGGACTTCCACCAGTATAGGTTTGGTTATAATGGGTATCTTTGGCATTGCTGTGTCAACCCATGGTGAGACCCGTCTATGCCATTCTAAACTCAGTGCATCAGTTCCCAATTATCTTGATCAAGATTCCTGAAACAATTCAAGATCATGTCAAGATCATATCAATATCTACTGCAGAATGTTTAAGCGATGACTTGTTGATAAAAACAGCTGAATTTGCCGTTGCGATGCTGGTAATTTCAAGCTCCAAATCCTACAGTCTTCAAAGGTCTCAAAGGAATTTAAATCATATGGCTCTCCTTGATCCACATACCTTTCCGACATACAAAATGAGCAGATTTAGCTAACACCATACGACTAGCAAAGCATAGTTTAAAGTCTTAAGTGACTTTGGCAGCGTACCAAGCTTGTTATCTTGTCTGTAGAGAGGAGACTGCTAGGCACCAGTCCAATTGGAAGACATCTCTGTTCTTGCATCCTAATGACTTCTGTGCGTACAGTAATAATTTTTCACTTCCAAGCGTGCAGTTTCTGGTCGAAGTCTCCAGAAAGTTGTGCAGCGCATAGAAATGACACTGGGATGTCTTCAGAAGATAAGGGGGCTTAAGATAACAAAGCAGGAAAGTCAGCAGTTGGGACATGGCCAGATGTTCCACACGTATATCACGCGTCTGTGTACTGCACTCTACGTGGAATGGAAACTAATTCGTAACGTTATACCTACGTCACATATCCCCCCCCCATATCCCAGCTCCAGTCTGATCCTCTTCCCTGCCGAATATGTGCAGTGAGAAAAGGGTGGATACCAGGCCATATGTAACACCTACCCGTAGTCAATTTTGTTCTGCAGATCTTCTGACAGAACGAACATGTGTTTAGCAAACACTAAAATTTTCACCAATATTCGCATATTTTTACTGTTTTATCACAATCTAGATGCAACATTGTCGAGATGAAATTGATGTACCGTGCATTGTTGTGAAAAATCTGACCAGACTGAATCATGATACTTTGTGTGAATCGATAATCTTCCAACATCACCAACACGACTTGCCGTCCTTGGCCTTTATGTATCAGAATGATATGCTACCAACAGCATGGCCGCGCCAGGAAACTAATGGGCAATTGTGTCCTTCTGCCGCCGACCAGTTGTATCTGTCAGCACTGAACCTTCAGACTGTTCCTTCATGCAGACAATTGCACGGGAAATATGTGCTGTATTTGCCGCTCCGGTTGAAGCTGAAAGTTGGCAGTAACTGCTTGGTCACATTCGTGATATGTTGTTCGTACGATTTTGATGTTGAGGGATTTCCAAGCAGCCTGTGACAGAACCAGCGGCCAGAAATGATCTAAGGCAACCTTTTCCGTAAAAAATAGGCAGCTGCATTATGCACGACATATGAATCTTCTACGTTTGGACTTGTACGACATTCCTACGACGACATTTGTGACCAGGCCGTAACGTTGAGCGGTAGCAAGAATCAAAAATCAGCTAGTAAAGAGAATGAAACCTCGCAGTAAAGTAGGCACGACCCAGAGAGAGTTGACGAAGAATTGAGTTTCGTGACTGCCCCCTCCTCGATCAGCTACCTTTATACCCACTTCACAGCTATAACGTAATAACTTTCGCGGGGATAGCTTCCAATTTCGGCCACTTTGGTTCGCTATCACGGCGCTGACCCATTTTCCGCTGCCGTGGCCGGGAGGGAGGCTGATGAGAAAGTCATCCAGCCGTGAACGAACGGAAAGCACAGCAGGTTCCCCGGGTCAGGACCGGCCTTAACTCCGCATTACGGATTGGTTTGCTTCAGTTGTTACGTACTTGTCAGGCTATCGTGAGAGGATTCTGTAATTGGTCTCACAGGACGCAGTTCAAAGTACGGAGGTTCGCATCAGAACAGCGCATTGGCATAGGCCTGTAGCAGTGACGGGAGAAGGGCACCACTGTGGAAATGACCAAGTGACTTCAAGCACTGCATAAACATCACTTATTCTGTTGAAGTTATCGCTATCAGAGATAACAGTTACTTGTAACTAAAGGTTATGAGCAAACGAACTGGCGCGTGTTGTATTCCCAAGAGGTCCATATGAGGGTAATTGGAGTCAAATTTTACGAACAAATTTTATTGGAAGTGTCACATATTGCCTGTTACCTAATAAAAGGTAATAAGTTTCAACTTCACTTTGGTTCAAATGGTACTCACATAGCCATAGCAGACAACTATGGCTTAGGCCTGTTTTGATATTTACGTCTGTTTGCTCGTTTAATTTTACGTGTGCTATAAAAACGTGTGTCTTTTTACCGAGTAAAATGATTTATGTACCTGTAGATGAGGGAGGCTGCAAAGCCGTACCTTTAAATGAATAGGTTATCGCTATTCAGTATGGCAGCCGCCATGTGTTACTCCGTGCCTCGCCACATGCTAGCGCGAATTACCGGCGAGATGAACTTTTCACGCCTGGTGTAACCTGATTCATTAAGAGTCTGGGTGAGACGAGTGGCGGGTAAGTGGTACATGGTGTCGTCAACTGTTTATCAAACCTGCATGGCGAGGGTCAGGCAGAGAAAAGACATTGATGTTCATAGCACGTCTGTTAAAAGGATAGTACGATTTTGTGTTTTTGTTTGTTAGCAATCCCATCTATTTCAATGGCTGGCGGCAAAAGAATAACATTTGGGTACCAAAATTAGCAGTGTCTTCAAACTTCTTTTCAAATGTCAGAAACAAGTTTTTAACATGTATTTCAAATGTAACACCAGTCGCAGATTTCAGACTTCCAGTGAGTATGCAATAATCGACTCCCTGAATTCCCCCATGTCGACTTTTAATTCCTGCTGGCTCCCAGCCATGTTCTGAGACCTTTGACCTCGATCCTGTCATTCTGCCTGTCGATCCTCCCCACCCACGTGCTGTCAACCTACCCTGTTCGAACAGATGCACAAACCAACAGCTTAGCTAGGCAGGCAAAACAATACCCCCGTACCCAGAAGTAACCATGTAAGTCTTGGGTCTATCCTCATAAAAACGAGTCAATTACCCGTGATGGAGCTGATCAACCTGGCTGGACGGCCGATCCTCCTGCCGGCTCATCAACGATTTCTTCCCGCTCAGGCCAAGTCAACCTGGAACCACAATTACCTACCCACTCACGCGTGCCCGCACAGGGCTTCAGGTTAGTGCGATATTGCAGTATTGGACTGGCTGGATCGGTGGTCAAACATAGTCCCGAATGAAGCTCCCACAAAAAAATCAAGGCCATGGGATGTTCAGAACAGGAGAAAAAAAACTTAAACCTAAATCTTTTATCTTGTGACCTTCATGGACACCCAATTGCTGCGCCCATATCATATCACGAAATCTTGGCCATTAATCTTCTAATCTGACATTTTATGTCAATATGTCGCTTTCGCTATACTGCCTTTGAAATGCTGATATAAGCCTGATGAAATGAGATATCGTGTTAGAAAACCGCACACATAAAGATCAATTTATTGCGACACATGTCGGATCTGTGGTGACAGCAGGTGTCCCCTGCATCTCCACACCTGTCTGCTGCAGCTCCACGGCGTCACGTGTGCCACGCCACCTTTGCGTGATAGCTAAAGCCACATCGTGCTTTGTAAGCGTTGTGGGCTTGGGCAAAATAAGACAGGTACTCTAAAGCCTAGTCTATCTTTAGCTAGCCTGTACCGTCCTATTTTAGCTCCAGTTCGCTCCGCTGCTTTTTTTTCCTGAAGACTTTTTGTTAGAGAAGCAATCAGAGAAACAGACTGGCACTAAAACAGGATGGACGGCTTATAGCTTACTCAATATTGTGGTCAACAAACTAACTTGGTTCCAAAGCTACAAGGATTGTGTTTTATTTATTTAAAAATGGGGACCTGCGAAGAAAAATACGGTACACTCCAAGCAGCCATGACGAACAAAAAGAAATTTGATGTTGGCACGCTGATCAAATGTGAAGTGGATGGACAGTTCGATCTAAACCACGATTTAGATGTTGTAATTTCTCATTTCTCCGCCGAGTGATAGCAGTTGACCATAACAGACAAGGACTTCACCAAGTATTAAAAATGGGCTGCTTCTAGTCTTCTTCGACCTGCTAACATGTGGCCGTTCATGATACAAACGGCAGATAACATATCACCATGATGCCGTGCTATGGTCACGTGATCAGACGTGGCAGTGGCCTCCGTTGCAGACCCCACCTGACATTTCTTATTTCAGTCAGTAGTACACACAGTTTTCTGATAGCTACCATGTCCTGATTGCTTGCTGAGATTTGGCCGTCCGAGCAAAAAATGGAACCAGGTATACAATCAGAATATGAAATACAATCAGAACTTCATTTACAATTAAGAGCTTGGGATAGCAAAACCCATGTTGTTTTCGTCAGCGTACATGGCGGACGGCATGTTGGATTTTGACGTCATGCAGGTGCCATCTTGTTAAAGGAAAGAAATGCTCGGTGGGGTCTGAAACGGAGGCTAACGTGGTAGGTAGAGCCCGGGTACTGCCATGCTGACACTGCGTCACCGTCCGAGTCAGAGTCTTGGTCGTTCCGTAAAACTGTTTGTGACAGGTTCTGTACTCTCAAGTTCGGCGCCGGTGGCTTTTGAACATGCATGTCAACGTGAGACGACGGTGGTCAATGGTCATCGGTGACCTTGACGCGTACATACGTACGTACTGATTTTCGGCTTTCTGTGGATGATGCCACGACAGCGATGCATATATTTTGACAGGTTTCCTGCATTTAATCTCCTATGGCACAGAATCGTACGATAATCCGGCACACCCCGTTTCGTGTGTCCTGTCCACCTGGCGGTCGCGCGGAAACTGCACCCCGCACCGCGCCCTACATAGTCCCAATGTTTGGTTCCAGGCAGTCCTTTTACAGACGCGTCGTAAAATCGTCCACATTTCTGACGTACTCTTGCTGTTTACTACATCCTTCAGGTGGCAACGCGAACTCCACCTTCTTCATGGGTACGTATTCCTCCTTGCTCCTCTTGCTGGGCTCCCAGGCGGACTGTTTGACTGGCGTCTGGGCCGGAATCAACAAGTTAGGTTGAACTTGGACTTGTGTGATGGTAGGAGACACGATGATGTGGATCTCGCCGTTCTCGTCTTTCCTGACGGTGACGTTGGACGGGCTCTGACACCCTCCCTTACAAGCTAGCTCTCCGTTCTGTGGAAGAGGGAAGACGGAGAAACATAAAGTTGCGTGATGAATCTGTAATGTTTGATTACCAATGGTATAATGTAGACAAGTAAACGTTTCATTTGGAACATTTTTTATCAACACATGTACAAAAACCAAACCGTGTAATACTCGATACGGATATACAGTAATCAAGAAAGGTGTTCTACATTGTGTTTACTTTAACGTACAAGTTACTCAAACTTCAAAAAATGTACATAGCATATCTATAGCTTCGTTCCTCAACTTTTTGTCGCTTATCATGTGCTGATTTCTGAGTGTATACCAGTTTTCGGACTACCGGGTTTCTGACAGTCATTCAATACTAGTATAGGCGATAGGAAAACTGAAGTACAATCAGAAAACAGCAACGAAAGAAAACAGGAAAAACAGTGCAAACATGAAGCTATGGAGGCTAATAAAACACTGCCTACCTCCTTGGCGGGAAAGTTGCGTTTCTCCCTGCGTCTGCGGTACATGTGCCATAGAACCTCCAGCAGCGCCACTGCGCACGCCAGGACCACGCCGATGGCGAGCACGCAGAAAACACCCGCGAAGTTGTCCAGGTCGAGCGCAGAGCTGGAACTGGAGGCGCTGTCTTGGTCCAACTTGCACTTGCCGTTCTTGGGCCACCATTTGTGTCTGAGCTTGTCCAACGTGCCGGAGTCTTGCAGCTGGAGAATTCTGGGGGTGAAAAATGACCGAAGCCAGGCATTTACGCAATAGAACGACGTGACAAGAAGAGATAAATTGCCACAGATAAAAGATGGATGTGGGTTGGAGCCTTTGTAGAAGCAGAGTAGGCTCTATGAGGTCTGACCAAAGTGACGTACTATTGCTCACTGCCAAGTTCGGTCGATACCGTACTGTATTATGAGCACCGACTTCGACTTTTTCCTGCCAAACTCTCCTTAGGGGTTACTCTAGCGTATGCAAGATGTATATCTGGGTCCATTCCCTTAATTTATCTTTGCTTTGTAGGCAGTGTCGCCTTTCATGACTTTTCCAATCGCGAGACGTGCACACTTACGCTAATGTGAACTCGTCTCTGTAGGGGTCTGCGCTGGGGAAAGCGATGCCGTATCCTTTACTGTAGATGGATTTGCCGACGGTGGTCAGCTCGCAGTTCTTGTCGGTAAGAGCTTCGTACTCGATCACAGGGACGTCCCAGAGGAAGGCGTACTTCCCTGGGAGATAAAGAGAGATTGGGTCAGCAGCTATAGCCCAGGGTACACACATCGTACCTAAGCTGTTTTTTCTCCAGGACGATTGCGCCCTACGTCTCACTTTTGAGAAGAAAAAAAAGAGTGCAATTACAGTTTGGTAACTTTAATTTTAAAACTACCGTTGTACCTGTTTCGTCTCAAATCTATGACGTACGGCACGACTGTCGAGGGGATTCCATCGTCCATGTTAGTAGGTGCATCATACGATGTACTAGTATGTGGCTGAGGCTTAACACATACAAGCACGTATTCAGTCCGTATCTACATTAGCTCGTATACGGTCATGTTCGCGTAATAAATAAGGAAGATGTCCCGTCTATGTCTATACAGCTATGTCGGAAAGAACAACGTCTACTGCGGAGTGACTTTGACTGATGATGCAACGTTGACCAAACACAGACATCAGATACTGTGATGAATTCTATTGTAACTACAATACAACAATCCCTGGCCATGCCTGATAACACTAGCTCCATAACCGAGGTTCTCATATTTTGTGCTGCATGTGAATCAGATAATGTCAGCAGCAGTGTGTTCTGACCTTTCCTGACCCGCTGGAACCCTTCTTGCGCCGTCCTGACGAGAGCTGCCGAGTTGTTCTCACTCTTCATGAAAGACCAAAGCCGCTGGTAGGTCTCAACATCCGAGGAGGCCAGAAACTGAGCGATGCTGGTGTCTGTGACCGTCCCGTACCTGCAGAAAATGTTTGAAATCGTTGCATCGAGCATGGCATTACCAGACAATGTCAATGGTTGATAAGAAATGTACAGAACAAATGTAAACATTTCATAATTTTAGATTACAATATGTGGTATTCATTTATAATATCTGTGCAACGCCACGATTGCATTTGTGAAAAGAAGGAAACTGAATACAACTAATTGAAAGCATTAAAAGTAACTGGTGTGGCGTACGGTATTTCAGTCTGTGAGGCGAGGTCGTCGAAGGATCGGATGGGCGAGTCCATCCGGGTCACGGTAAGGAAAGCTGCCAGGTTGGCCGTGTAGGATGATATGATAATTAGGGTGAAGAGCCACCACACGCCGGTCAGGATCCGAGTGGGCATGCGCCCGATCGTCAGGTCTCCACCTATGAGTGAACGATATTTTGAATGATTTCGTACTCATGTTGAGTCGTCAACAAAATACTGCTGCAGTTCAAAAACATCTGCCAAAGGGCACAAACCTATACAACTTCTTTTCGAAAAAGGTGCCCTTTCTGCCAACCAAAAATCATGGTCATAGCATGTCCAGAACACGAGGTACAAAAACAGGACATTCTGCTGCAGTACCGTAGAAATCCGCTAGGAGACAAATATCTGATGATAAGAAGTCATCAAAACTGTAGTTTCTTGAGTTTATATGCTGTTATACCACACAGTCACAAACAAATAACGCTAGCGAAAACATAATAACTTTCTTGGCGAAGGAAACAGTGTGTGGAAAAGACTACGTTACCCACCTTGTTGCACGAAGGAGCCGTACACAAACCACATGGTGTTCCTCAGATTAAAGTCGGGCCCGTCGTTCGGGTCGTCGCCGGTCTTCCTGGTGCCGATTCTGTGCAGTAGGAACAGCACCGCGCTCACCAGGATGAACGCCGCGATGGTGCACAGCCACACCTGCAGGGACAGACAGCACGGGTGGGCCTCTGTCTGCTGACTCACTGCTTCTTTTGTGTGGTATCTTACTCTGTATTTACATATGTTATATTTCCATACCAGATGGAGTACACAAATATGTAAAAATGTCGTGAATTTAGGACCCTGGTCTTTTCCTGACATAATCGCGAAAAACTTCTATACATATGGGACACCTCAAGCAGGAGGCTATCACGAGCCAGAGAATACACCACGCAGTAGGTTTTACACTCAATAAGATTTATGCAGTCGGTGTGAAAAATATATTATAGGAGAAAGAGCAATACAAGAGAGTCATCACAAAAGATATCTGACGTCTCCTTTGACCTTCTAGATTATGAGGACCAGAATATGTGGCATTTTATACTGCGGCCATAGTGGCGAAACAATATTAATGTTCTCCACACAATATTAACATGTATATCATGCTGTTCCTTCCATTGTGCACGCACGAGTCCAATAATTGGTGATTTCATGACGCCCTTCCTTCGTGACTCTTGGTTGCCAATCAGTCGGCAGTCCACGCGACTGTGGGCACCTACAGGCATGTGCCGTCTCGTAATGGATGTCCAGTCACGGAAAGTCGCACAATTACTACGTCCAGCAGCTAGGTATAAAACTGGCTTTCCATACTTGGAACGACTCGTATTTTGTGGACACTTTTCTTCGAAACTTCCAGACCGAACGGTACGAATTGGTACCTTTGTGTTGTTTTCGGTGTCTTTGTCTCTTTGTTGCTCGTGTCCATGGTTATTTGAATGCAGTAGAGGTGAGGGGGAATGGTGTAACCGCAGGCTGATAGGAAGGTTGAATCGGAGGTCAAAATGTTCTCCCCGCAGGCTGGGAGGAGGTGACCATGGAATATGCACAGAATCAGCAAGAAATTCACAATGATGATAAAAACAAGAAATTCACAACAACTTTAAATTCTCGACGAAGATGTAAAGCCTGGTTGAAAATGTGACTAGTCATTTCTCACTTACATCAGCATGAAGTATGCCGAGTGTTATAAATGAACAAGGGCCTTTACATTGATTTTCTGATGATGTATAGTACCGTAGAGATAGGACATAAATCTGCATCGATTAATTCATTGTAGTACAAGTTGTCACCATAACTCATACTGAAGTGAGTTAAATGAATCCATAATTCCTTTCGTCAGTAATAATTAATAGCATAACGGATGGACCCTTGCCGCTGTCGTCTGCCGCTAAATCAAACACTGAAGGATAATCATGAATACAAGGAAAGAAAATGATGTGATGTTCATGCAACATTGTATGAAAAGGCGTCGACAACAAGTAATGACATGTCTGGACACATTGTGGGTTATTTATTGACTTTGTGCATTCAATCATTATTGTAGCCGTCTGCCGTGCACAAAGGGGTGTTGTCTTCACGTATCATTTTATTTCACAAATACAATCACACAATAGAACATTAATGTCATATTTAATATAAACGGGAACACTGTGTCCAGTTAACTGACCCGAGAGTGGTAAAAAAAGAGTTGCCTTGTTGACGCCAATATCGGGCAATGATACAGTGGGTTATTAACCCACTGCGTCTTGTGCATGGTATTGTAAAGCTGAGCCCATATCCCTTCTACCTACACCAAGTACATCTTTTACCTGCCCGACTGAACTCAGGTACACCTGGGTGGAGTGAGAGTCGGGTAAAGTTTTTTCCACCGTCCAGCCAGGAAGTCGGTCCCTGAGTGAGTGAGTGAGTGAGTTAGTTACTTAACTTCGTACGAGCCCTTGTATTACTCACGTTGACGTGGAAGGGGTCCAGGAAGACGAAGAGGTCCGTTTTCTTGACCGGCTTCTTCAGCAGAATGCCCACCGCGAAGTCCATGTACCTCTTGGTGAAGTCCACCACTCGTTCCCGCTGGGGGGTGATGGTGATGGCGCTTAGGGCAAATCCGCTTTCTGAAAGTCACAGGAAGTTATGTTAACACTTACACCCTAACTGTCAGCGGCGATATGGCCCCGTTCCACGAGTTACCGGCGTTCGACATAAGGGGGCCAATGAGCCGGGCTAGCCGCAACGAACGCAAATTTAGTCAGGCTAGGTTGATGGAGAATGCCTTACGATTACATCACTGGGATGACTACGTTATCGCAAGGATATAATGTCCTTGGTTATCGATATCAATGGCTGGCATACTAGTAGTTGACTGATCACGAGTAGCGGTATTCAAGGCTCATGTGAAGTCTATCATAATCCGGGTATTTGGTCAATAAGATTAGCTTGGATCGTCACAGGACGATCGTTCAATCACGTCTATGGAATATATCGAATGACGTGAAATTAGATTATCAGACAAAACAATTGTTATCTGTTTCATACAGCATGATGTTTAGGAAACGATAAACGTCAGCCGTACCCCCTGCATGACGTCCCCGATCATCCCGCTCCACGTGCCGTCCTCCTGAGGACTGCCGTACTTCTTATCCTGTACTTCATACAGCTTGTACTTAAACCCCAGCAGCTTGGACAGCTCCGTCAGCATGTCCATGGCGAAACCCTCCCACCGCACGCCCACCGGAGTCATTCTCTTGAACACAAACGGCTCCTCCTGGAAGGGAGAAGTAGCAACTTCAGGTACACTTACACTCAAAATGCTCCAGAGCTAATTGCGGGTAACAAAGATATGGAAATAAATTTAAAAAAAAAACGTGCAAAAGAATTTTAAAAGCGGCAAATATACATTCCAGAAGGTAAATAATACAGATATGCCATAACAGCGTCACTTTGTACATGTCTTTCCATACAGTTTCTCAGATACGTAAGATACTTTGCTATAATATCAATGATTTATTAGACTGTACCAAACAATTACAACATTATGTTCCCAAAGGTGAAACAAATTGATATAATCGTTTCAGCAGTTAACGGTTAATATTGATCATGAGTGGTTTAAGTAGTCATCTTCGACTCAGAAGGACGACCAAGGGTTTCAGCTAGATGGCTGGTTTTTGTATCCCCCCAAAGGATCTCCGAAGCTCACCTCCAGTGTGACCACCCTGAATGTTTTGTTCCGTATGTCTACCCGCGGAGTGCCGGCAGGTAAGGTCCGGGCGGTGGTGTTCAGTCTGGTCACAGGGTCCCACATACCTGCCTGGGGACGGGTACATAACACATTGCATATCAGGAACAAATCCCTGAACTTTTGTTTTTTAAAGTATTACATGACAGTGTATACAATTACAACTCTGTTCTTCCAATGCATAAACATCCATTTTAATTGTGGAGTTTTCTTTTTTTTTCTTTTGTAGACAATAATGTACTAGTATACCATCTGGGGAAGGCACGATATATTATTTCCAAATAATGTGGCTAGTGATAAAAGTATGGGCGGTGCCTGGATGCTGCATTAGCTGGCTTACATCAGGTAATTTGTATACTAATAATCCTTGTATGAGGTGTATGCAATGATCGTAAATAAACATTATTAGATTTGTTTAATTTCACTGCCCCATACGGAGCAAAGTCAGACTCCAGTCACAAAGTCACATTCTAAACTGTTGCCTATTGACTGTTCCTTCAATGTGTACTTTGAAAAAAGTCCACGATTAATTTTCATCCTCACGCAAAGACGAATCATGTATGAAATATCAGCAACAACTGAGGTCGAGGAAATTACAGAACGAGTTCATCTTGAACCCACTTGTTTGTACCATTGGGAGGCGAAGTGTTAGGAGACCATGATCTATGTGCAGCATATAAAGAGTTATATCCACACAGGGTTTGGGGGCGGACGTAACCTTCTTACAGTTGACTGGTTTGGGAATACTTTGACAAGCCACCTTCTGTCATGGCACAACCGTTTGATTCTATATTCCAAGCATTCTATCATCCTGGGGTTCGTTTTTTGTAGCAATGAAAGCCAATGAAAGTCAGCCTGTCTAACTACTGTATCTAGTTTTGCAACGAACAAACTTCCGATCACTCCCAAACAAAGAAGCAGTGAGTTGAATACTTTGCACATGGTATCCTGAGGCTGCCTAGATTCCAACGGCGTTCAGATGTCGTTCCTGTTTCTAACCGCCCGTTGCCAACAAAGAAAGCTTAGATGAAGCTAGATACCACTCCAATCCGCAGGCATTTTACGATACATATCAAGGAGAAGATATGCACGGCGTGACCCGAAAACAGGTCACTGCGGCCTGGTTGACTAGATAAGTGAAAGTGCTGACAGCAGGGCCAGACGTCTTACCACTTCCACTCTTGTTTTATTGACTACTTTCTCCAGCCTGAGGACCTGCATCTGGGAGTTGATGTTGTAGCCCGTGTCATCGAACCCTGACTTGCCCAGCACCCCCGGCGTCCTGACCTGTGGCAATAGGTTAATGAACATCTCGGTACACTTTGAAGCAAGGCGCAGCCAGGGCAAGCGGATAATGGCGCTGCACATCACTTTTGCACGTGCATGTTGTGATCTCAGCACCAGCCTGCCTGAACCCAGGTAACTGTTCTTACATTCATCAAAATTTGTCTTTTTAGCTGAGTTTTACCCCCTCAGACCATTCAGCAGGTGGTAGACATTTTGAGGAAGACAAAAGTAGCAAAACTACAGATGATGACCGATCATAAGCCACTCGTCAGAATTCCGAAAATTAAACACAAAATCTTCAACGTAAGACTTTACTTGCGGCCATGACGATCTCTAACTTTTCAGTCACGTACCAAATTTGCAAGTACACGTCTCGTCACAGTTATTCATTACTTCCACGCAGGTTATCTTTATGAAATTAGTTTATTTCATTTCCCACCTCCCTGAGTGTGAAAGAAATCTTCTCCATAAAGAAAAGAAAATGATACATATCGGTAATTTCTTTGAACTTTAATTCCGCCTGACTTGACTGATGTTTGATGTTTGAAGGTGCACCGGCGGCAACCCCAGGAGGGACGGCATCACATGAAGATATTAACAGTATCATCCATTATTAGTGAGCTGAGCCTGATTCCCCGGCCAGGCGCTGACACGTCCCGTAATTAATCCTCCTTGTGTGTGCCCGTGACAGAGACGGATCCTTACCTTCCTCAGAGTCTCCATCAGCGGGGGACCTCCAGGCCACGGCACCGACACATCGATCGAGCATCTGCGCAGCATCGATAAAAATACAAATTGAGAGATGCACTCTTTGAGACCTCATAGATTCTGGCAATCCAATCCGTTCCGTTCCTACCCTACGTATCGCGCTCCCTGTAAATCCTTTTTAATGCAGATTGTTTCAGGAAAGATTCCGCTCCAAGTCGCTGAGGGAGGATAAATCTGAGACGTTACTGCTAATGCGCATGAGATCGGCATTTGGCGGTGTGTTTCTCGTTCGATTAAAGCATCACAGTAGTACAACAACAATTATTTGCAAGTCATGCCAGACGACTAATAGCAAGGTAACACAAAGAAAACGTCTAATCTATATATAGATGAATAGCTTACCTGAGCTTGTTGGGACCGATCCACTGTCTGTCCAGGAAGAGAGCGTAGACAGCCCTGGATATGTGTAACACCGCGTCGTACATGTACGCAGCTGTCATCTGCCAACATTTCATAAGGAAATGTTATTCAATTTAAATGAAGAGTAATGAGTATATATCGCGTTGTTTTGATGTTTTAGTACATATCAATAATGAATTATATATCATATCAATAATGAATACATATCAATGATACAGCAGTGATCATTGTCACTCTCTATGCAAACAATCTTTGTAATATAATACATATTTTATATTGGGGAATAAGTATTACATAACAAGATGCTGAAGTGCTAACGTTAAATGTTGAACATGGCCTCATCATGTCAGATATACCAGTTGGTGGTCATAAAATCAAAGCACACGTCAATATCAATTATCAAGATCCTGAGCTGTGTTGGGATGCAGAAGAACATTCCCACAAATTGCTGGAATATTGATGCGATTTTGCGATCTGACAACTCTGAGATTAATCTTGCTTAAGATGTTCTTTCTTAGACATTCCGTACTTCAGTAATAACCCGCCCACCTTCACGTCGTAAGGACTTGTGGTTGCCCCGTCGGTGACGTTCGCCGGGAGAGATCTCCAATATGCCATAAACTTGTCGGTGTACTCGCTAAATGAGATCAGTTTACGAACCACCGTCAGGACTCCGCGGGATGCGTTGATTGCCAAAAGCTGCTTGTCGCTAACTTCCTGCGGGGTTTCACATGAAACATAAAAGTTCATAAAAAGGCACGGGAAAAGGGAAGCCACAACACTTCGAATTCAGTTCAAACTTAGGCTCTATACATACATGTATTACATTAGGAGAGTGGGACTTGATCTAAATCTAGAGACGTATTTTCTGTTGCCTTGATATTGATTTTACGTATCGCGACTTTCTCTTCACAACATTTGAGTTGTGAAGCTTGTAAATCTATTCAGCCTTTGTGCGTTTGTCGACGTTCTAAACGTTCCATTGAAATGTATAATCTATAATAGCATCACAACGTTAACCATCCATATACAATTACAAACAGATCCTATTTTCAGGCCGTCCACTGACATAATTCTTTATTAAATGTGTGGAGCGAATTGCACATAAGAAAGATGCAGTCTGTGGCGGAATAACGTATCTATTGATCGTGTCTTTCATCGAGAGCGATCCCCCTGCACCTCGCTGCCTGAGAACTATGATTCAGAGCGCTGCTGTTTATGAACCATTTTTCTTTCTTTATTGCCTGACATTTCCTGCCTCTGATATGTTATACCAGAAAGAGTGATAAACCTTTTCCGTTGTCTGTTGTGATGTATATCATCGGCATTACCCTGCCGCCTGCTACATTAGCGCGCCTCACATCTCCAAACCGTTATTGTTATATCGGGCGCCGTTAATGTCAGAAATAAATACTGGTGTGAAGTACACTAACAGTTGATGTCACCACACTCAAGCAACTTTACCTACACTTGAGTTAATTCTTTGAAAGCTGTTTGAAAGATGTTGAACAATTCGATGAAGCGAGAGTATCTTGGCCATGATAACAGTCCACAAAGGTGCCGAATAGGTCGTAATTGACTTGACAGTGACAGGAATGCCGATAGCCTGTGGTTTATCCACACATTTGACTGTTTCCCGTGATGGAATAAAAGCTAGCCTTTGTATACGTAATCTACGTGGCTATTTGCCAGTGTGCTGCCGTGATGATAAGTGTCCCACAAGCTCACCCCAAAGAAAAGCAATTGGATGCAGCTCAAGTTTTGACGCTTCAGCATTTCAGAGAAGAGACTTCATGAGTTGAAATGATAAAATCTTGTCCATGCCTCAAAGCCATTGAAAACGAACTGCCTCGGATTCCCTCTGCTATTCACTCGACCGCTCCTATTTATCGATATGCTGAATGAGTTCAACAGCCTGCAAAGCTGTCTGTTATAACGACTGCGGCTCCGCAATTACTACGTTTGGTCTGCCTAGCGAAATGTATTGCTCGCTGCTGGTGACTATTTGTAAAGCTGAGTTTAGGATCGATACCCCACGCCTTCACGCCGGGGCCTGATTCCCGTCACGGCAGGAAGACATGAAAATAATATTGTTCTCGCCACACGCGGGTTTTATGATCCGGCCCTCCGTATAATTTTCCGATGATTCTTTCCTCCAGACATTGGTGAGTTGAGGGAAGACCCCCACTAATTATTTCCTTTTCACTTTACAGGAACATCTCCAGCTTCAAAAGCCCGGGTAGTTACCCACACAAAATACCAATAATTCCAATGTTATCATCAAGGCCCCCTACGGTACACAGGGAAAGAGATTTACGGGAAGTTGCCAACCAGGTATTTGCGATCGGCCTCCTACAGCCAAACATTTGCATCATCAGTCCTACAGACGGCCTGTCCGTACGTGTAGGGATCTTTGTGAAGATTGAAGTAACGCATAAACCTTTAAATGACCCGGATGTCTAAATCAGAGCCTCTCCTTCGAGACAAAAGCCTGGGTATGTGAGGTCGTTTCAGGTCGTCACAACTTAATACCAAATGTGAAAAGAGCAGAATACCAAAGGAGACTCTTAATAGGAGTCGTATAACATGTAGCCTTGTTCGCCATAAAATATCGTTAGATGTATTGATATTCAAAATTGACGGGGTAGTTTGATCGTAAGGGCCCAAGTTGGTAGTTAAGGTCGGTCTTTGACTATTATGTAAAACCGTGAGACAATAAAAATATAGCTGCTACTCTTTCCCGAAATGAGATTTGTGCGATATAACTGTAATATCTATGTCAGGTGCGGCAGAGATAATCAAGCGAAATGCCAGAGTGACATTTACATAGTGTCAACGGTATTCTTAACATGGCATTTTGTGCATTATTTCATGTGTAAGAGCATTTGTTTTAATGCTTATCCGATATTAAATTTCTGAAATGTTCAACTTACTTGATTTGCTATCACCCAGTGATGTTCAGGAGTGAACAGGTTCATCTGATTCGCCTGGAGAGAAAAGAATAAAAAGACATGGTAAAAAGTGGCATTGACAAATACCTCCCTCATTCTTTCTAGGAAAACGCCGCACATTTATGAAGACTGAGATTGCAGACGTGCATGTAGCATGCTCTAAATTTGCAGATACAGTCATCAATTTCTGAAACACTAATAAAGTTTGAAATATTAGTGGTGTCTTTAAGCTCGTGTATTTCGCTGTGACATTTCAGCGCGAACTCAACACATGAACATTGATATTTGTTTTCTGTCCCCGTTTCAGCTGTTGTTCAAACTGCGAACTTAAAGACAGAGATGCCGACACACTCCTGGTTTTATTGTGCCACGAAGTTCGACGAACATAAAATAAATTTACAGTATCACAGTCAAAGTTGCTCTGTTCAATGTTGGGTTCTATTTCGATCGGGTGGAGACGTGCTGAATGTATTAACTTGTCCTGTCGCGGAAATGTTGTTCATAGTTTAATTTGCTCCCCCCACACATTTGTGTATTTTTTAAAAAATATCAAAGAAACAAAAGCTTCGACACGACGAAAAGCAAATTTAAAGCACGATTAGAAGAAGAAAAGAACGAGGCTTCACGCCAGTGCCCCTCGCACCTGTGTCGATACCATGAATACCTGATGATGTGGTAAGTCTAGTCATGGATATAGATCTTTCTATAAACTGTTCCTCGCGTTATGAATTCAGACTCTTCTAGAAAAACAGGACTCTTCTAGCCTGAGATCCGCCCAGTTCTAGCTATATCCGCTCTTTTGATCGCTTTCCCGCGGAATATTCAGCAGGGACGACATCAGAGGAGCAAACCAGGGCTAGACTAGGATGAATATCAGGCTATATATACTTTCGCCTGTCGTTTTTTAGTGATACACGCATTGTAAAGAAATTAGGACAATTATGATGCAGATAATTTGGTCTCCTTGTTCTTGTTGCCTACATATTGCTACTCCAGCATCCATGTTCAGACTTTTCATTTGTTTCAAGACCTGTATTTGACTCAGGACACTTTACCTCCCTCCCCATATTCTTTGTAAGTAGATGCAGCATAAATTTCCGTATGCAAATTTCAGACGCTATATAGGGAATCGAAATTGGTTGCAATTAAGTAGTCATTTCAACCATGGAACAAGGCAGTCGTCTCTCTTGATTTACTCGATACTTATGAAGTTTCCACAATTTTTCAAAGATCCAACTTTTTGGAGACGACTCTGGACTAGTTCCGGTCATTCTACTGACATTGCCATGAAATTGCTCTGATTATTTTACAGCAGTAATTGTGGGGTAATTTATCAAACGGCGTTGCTCCGGAGCTTTAATCATTCCGGTGTATTGTTCCTGCTAGCGGTCCCACATCCATCACGACTATACGGGCAGCCAGTGATAACGCGGCATTGCCACGGAATTACGAAAATCGTTACTAATCGCCATTCAGGTTTCGCCGTGTGTTCCGGTCGCCTTAATTATGGTCTGTGAATTTTACAGTCACGTCGTCTGCGCTACCCCCCAGGGAGACGCCCAAGGCCATCTGATATCTGGGGATAAATTTCCGTGACTCGGGCCGATACGTCGGGTTTACTGGGACTTAATATTAGACATTTTATCCCATAAACGAATCGCTTTGGAGCTTGTCGATCGATCCGGCTGCTGCTCACCGGATACTGATTTAACAGCGAGCCGCCCGTACCGGGAGTAATATCCGAAAACAATACAGCACCGAGACAGTAGGAGGGGTATGATATACGCATTTCCCTTTTTGAACAGAATTGATGTGTAACAACGGGACTTGATTTTCTCGCAGTCCGTCAATACAACTTGGACAAATGGACAGGGCAGTATGTTTTAGACATCTAAGCCGACTTTCTGCAATACGCAAGGAACATTAAAACATGATACATGTACATAGTTCATTGCATGACACACAATATGATTAATATAACCCTTCAACAGTAATCAGGATGCCACATCCTAACTCTGTTTGGGAATCACTGGGTATCCTGAACAATAGCTAATAACGCTTCCATATAATGGTTAGTTGGAGAAAACTTGAAAGCTGCATCTTCATCTTTGATATACTAGTGTCTTTTGAAGGGAATAGATACATGTATCTTGTAATTAGCTATTCAATTTATAAGCCCTTGTCGGGTTTCTTTACAATTTATGAGTAAAAAATGTACAGATTTACATCCTCTGCAGTTAACACGTTCTGTTCATGAAGCTGCAGAGATATTTTCCTATAAAGTTTATTATCTTCGTAACTAATTAACCTTATTTTCCTCGTGTTTCGTAATGGATCAGGCAACTTTATGGCCAGTCACATTCGTCGTACGATGTTGTATTTTGGGACAATTGTTCACATGTACAAAACTCTGCTGTTTTGTTACGGAAAAGACTGTTTTAGATAATTGTCGGCGGTTGCTTCTGTCAAACCAACTTGAAAATTCTACAATTCGACTGTGCCGAACACCGGCGCCGTTACCTGCTTGACCAGTCGTATGGTGTTCTCCACCGTGCAGAGGATGACCACCCGCTTCAGCTTCTCCCCGTAGTCGGAGATCTCCTTCTGCCCGCTCGGCAGACCCACGATCACCTGACTGCCGTTAGACAGGGACGGCAGCTTCAGCACGATCACCTCCATGAAGTTCCCCCGGGTCAGCGCCAGGACATTCTGGATTCTACTGAAGGCTGTGAGAAAGTCACAAATAATCTCGGTTACAAAGTTACATTAGAGTGCAAAATAAACGAAGCAACTGGATATATTCAAAAGAGTCGGGCGTTTCAGATAGCATCCTCTATCTGTCATCAGTGGCTAAGAATGAGTTTATTTTGTGTTACGCAATGTTCTGCCTGGATGTCGTCGTACATTAGAAGGATATTCCCTTCATCATAGGACTGAGAATATATTGCATTTGTTTTCGGTGGAGCCGATAAGTATCGTTGTCTCGGGTCTGAGCTCGTAAGATACGTCAACAAAGATTTCTAGCTCTTACTGCAAAAGGTGCTTTCAACAAAGATGTCAGTAGAATTGTCCATTTCGTGGTGTAATTTCCTGTGACTGATTTGTTTTACACAATAAAAGCAATTTTGCCCCCCGCTGTTTTAGGACTTTACACTTCCAATTTCTTGTACTACATATTTCATATATTTCGCAACTGATGAAGACATGAAAGGATGATTTGCAGGCGCGGTGAGGCGCCGGACGTGCTCAGATTTACGGTGAGTCCTGTTCATAACATCCTTCCTGCACTGGTCGATAGTATCAATGCCGAAGGGAGTAGAGTTTGAAATGTTTAATTGTTAATTTCATGGCTCACATGAAGAGGAACACGGGGAATTTTCCATGTTTTCCGCAACAGTAGCATCTCCCGAGGCAAGTATATTAACTGGGAGATGTATTGATCTTTTGGATGCCTCTAATCGTGATACATGGCGGTCAATCCTTTATTACTTTGCTGGAGTATTTACTATCTGAAGTATTGCTGATCAGACGCAACTCTTTATCAAACGTGAATCGTAAGGCAGGCCAACAATAATCATAATCACAAAATTGATATCGGAAAAACACGAAGTGGACACTACGGAAATCAAAATCAGTCATGCTAAATCAACAGTAAGTAAGACAGGATATAAAGTACATGTAGGAATGATGAAGTGTGTCATAAAGTTTGCATTATGAAGTTAGAGTTGGTAGAAATATTGCTTTGTTCACAACGAATTCCATTGGCTGCGTCTTCCATTACATCGGGCCGTTCAGGGAATTCTGCGATACATTTCTCACTCATGTAAAGGTAAACATCATGAGTTGATAGAGATCATGCCATTTGGATGTTGTTACACGGCATCTATCATGTATGTTTGGATCCACACAGCTCCGGTTCTTATTACATGAGTTCCACGCAACATGACGTCCCAACTACTGCCGTGACCTTTTAGCACAATTTTCGCCGTAATTGTTATTTCATAAGGAATTCCTCCCAGACTTCAAAAGTAATTTCCCAAATGCCATTTTTTGCTCATATTGATGTTATCATCTCGATCGATATCTTGCCTTGTGAATATCTACCAGCCAGAACTCCTGAATAGTTGTTGAAGCAGATTCCCTCTGGGACATAAATGTTTATTGTCTTACGGAAGGACTTGGGATGATAGTGGGAAAAGTTAGAAAAGTGCGTAGGCAGGATATCCTGGAAAGTCTGACAAAGAAGTCAAAGTACAAATGTTCAGATGCGAAAAGTAAAAGCTAAAACATGTATCTATTACTGTACTATTACTACATGGATATTCTATATTTGTGCGGCGGTGCCTACCGTAATAGTCGTCATAGAACACCACCATGCTCCTCCACCTCTGCTGAAGGATGACGTCAGCTAAAGCCCTGTCGATTCCCGAGGCCTCCGGGCGCATGCTCAGCGTGTATTTCCTGCCGGCCGTGACCTGACAGTTGTCACGTGCCACGAAGACGAGCGGCACGTGCATGGCGTTGCACACGGACTGCAGGGCGATGTTGGTGGGGCAGGAAGTAGAACTCACTATGGCGGCGATCCCATCTGCCATCAAATTGCAACCTGGACGGGGAAATAGGAGGTTACTGAGGAGCTGACAAAGGAAAGCAGTCCGTGTCTTCGCAGGGGTCGTGTGGCGTAACGGTCTTCGTCTCAGAACCAATAGATTCCGGTTCGAACCCCGCCATGCTACCGATCTTGTGCCCTTGGGAAAGGCAGTTTTCACGACTTTTCATTGAGTATTTTCACTGAAAATGAGTATTGTATTTTCCCCCGTGGCGGCATAAAAATAAGTTGTGCCGTCACCACGTCTTGTAATTACATGTTGGAAAAAAATCAACCTGGCAGTCAAATACTGAACTGTACAAATAACGTTTCGTGTGCGTCACTGCATGTTGCAATGTCAATGTCTCCTATCTCTGTGTTACATACCGCTGCCAAATTTATTGGAGGCAAATCAGATTCCGCATGCTGCAAGCTCCTGACCAATCCTTGCTATTTCCATTTCTGTGGAGATAGCACAAGTTATTGAATTCTCTCGGGTCATGAAGCTGGGTGTTTCTTTTTTCCAGCAGCGTCTGTATCTGCACAGGCGGTATAACCACCCTTCGGCGTATAACACCTGAAGTATTTCCCATCTTCGGGAAATGACAATTTCAGCGCTACTGGAATGAGATGGTGGCGGTTGCGGGGGGGGGGGGGACGTAAAGATGTTCAATGTTCAAAATTCTCTGCATGCACGCAGTCCACACTGTGCAATTGTTATGTTTAGTTCATGGCGCATCAGGATACAGGACGGTTCAATGACCGCCTTTCACCCACACAAGAGGCCAGTGTCAAAACGATCCGACTGAGGGTCAAGAAACAAAAAAAAACTCAGGTCGTCCTTTGCTCTTTATGTGTTCAAGACCTCGTGGAAGCGGGGAGTCCAATTCAGTCGGCACAGCTATGAAGGACGATATGGGAAATACATACAAGTCGTACCAAGCCGTTGCCCTTGCCGGTCCGTTGCCCCATTTCAAGGCGATTCAATAACACCCGATCAACTGGCATATTGCACAAACTATCACCACATCTTATATATACTTCTTCCATCAACGTTCCCATTTAGAAACTCTTCCTGTGAACCCAGCATCTGACGCTCTTATCACAACTAATAATGAATCAATACGATAGTGACGCATTTAGCACACTGGCTATTGAAACGTTATTAGGGAAAATGTGAAATCCGCGGTGCGTCGGTCGATATTAAGCACGGGGTCGCTGATAGGCCTCAGTACATGTCACCACATCAGGCAAGCCTCCCGAGATCAGTCATCCAGATAAAACTTACTTTATACGACATTATGTAATTGTGCTGCGGGAATAAGCTTCAAGGCACTGGAGCACGAGAGATGATATCTGGGGGAAATGTATATCGCGGATACACTAACGGATTGCAATAAAGCACGCCGTGGGCACCGCTGGAGCCTTTTAAACTGCACTGTGGAGGCTTTCTCGTGAATTACGTTCTGTAATCTTGTTCGCGAAATTGGATCTGCACGATGCGCTCCAACTTTACTGAGTGATAGGCACGGCATTACCCCGCGCATAAGTAAGTATACTTTCATGAGGTTCCCCCCACTACATGAAAATAAGATTATAGTCCTTCATAAAGACCGTATTTGGCGTGCACCTGGCCACCCCTGGTGTATCTCATACCCATACAAACCATCGATGGGGATAAACTACAAGATAAGGTAATTAAGTTTGCAAAATCGCAACACAGAAAATAATTGGTGCTTAAAACCACTATCAGAAACCTGCAATCTAAGGCAGTAATGATCCTGCACACATGGTCAGGTATCACTACCCCACTGGGAGGGACGTAATGTAGAACACAAGGTCGGTAAACAGGGCTGGGGATTTAGAGTTGTTAACGTTTTAACGCCAAACATGCTGGGTACAGAACTGGGTTTCAACAGAGAACACCAACATATATCCCAGTGCTAATAATGAGTATATATGGTCTAAATTACAGATGGGATCGACTGTTATGTTTACTCGATACAATCTGGGCCGAGATTCCTTCTCGACAAGAGATGGATGATATAGATAGCTTTGTTTACCTTTATGTTAATACTATTACTACGGAAGAGTAATAGCATAGACATATTGCGGAAGCTGTGTTGATGTGGTTTTACGGGCAAATGGCTAATTATAAAGCAAAATGAGGCAGCAATTTCACAAACAGATTTATCATTCTATGCCTGCATCAAGAAAGCAATTATGTTATGCGTCATAATGTATTCCGGGTAAACAGAGGCTTAATGATAATTGTGTGTTTGTCTTTTGTTAGTCTATATCGAGCTGCTGCAGCCATTATCTGTACCCGGCGCTCGGTACACCTAATCCCCGCTTAATTGATATCTTTTGGCACCATTCCCAGTCGTGCTAATTTCCACAAATGTGGCATATTTTAATCCATTTGTGGAGGAAGACGCACCGGCGTGATGCAAGTTATGTCATAAACCCAAATTGTTATCTCACATGCCAGTTATGATTAGAGATTACCGGCGGGTGTCACAGAAATCAAATGAACACGATGACGGTTACGTGGGTACAGAAACTACAGATACACCAGCACTGCTGGGCGCCGGCTTTAATCAGCGCTTGTTGACGTCAGGTTCCAATTGGACATAAATTCACGGGATTGCTTTGATAATAAACAATGATGCTATAAAGAACCATTCATGGGCAAATATTGCTTCAACTATAAACGTTGATTGTTTTAACTATAAACAGTCGACATTAAACGAACCGTTGGTTATGTGAAGGTTATATTACACCCCTAAGGAATGTAGCAGGCAAACAGTTAAAACAACTGACATGAATCTACCACATATCACTGCCATACATTAACGTCTACCCGAAGGTGAGCTTCTTTGCATGGGATAAACCAAACTGAACATGTCTAGTGCATTTCTCTGGTACTACCTTCACAGGTAGTAATTTTATATGAGGGAAGGATTTAGTGCG